GGAAGAAGTGCCGACAGACGCAGCAGACATGCCCCGTCCTGACATACAGGTCATGGTCCACTGACAGCGGGGAAACACTGCGACTGTTTAAACCAAGATAAACCCTGAGTTGAGTTTACACATTTCAACGCCTCATGGAGACAAGAAAATGTCTGTGTAAGAGTCACCGATGTCACAGAACGCCATACCACAGGTAGACTTAACATTGTAGTTCGTCAGTTACTTCCCATGAAAGTGCATTTTAATGTTCCCTTTAATCACAGATTTGCATGCCAACACCAAGAATCATCAGCCAAACCAATCAGAAGAGAAACAATTAATGCAAAGTAGAACCTTTACCGATGCATTCTGCTTTTTATTTTGCCCAGCTCTCATTCCACAGGCAAGAAAATTGAAAGGCATGAGAGGAGAGGATAAGGGGCAGGCAGGTGACTCAGTAGTGTGGAGTGTGTGTAAAGCTCACTCAGCAGGAGGTGAGCTTTATCGCAGCCCTGCTCTTCAGACAAAACACACACAGCACCAAACAAGGACAACACTGTTCCACTGTATGTGTGCACCCAAACAGCACATGGCTGAGGTGGTTTAAGGCATGGTGCCCCAGAAAACAAGCTGTGATTTACATTCTTGCATGTACACACTATTTTTTTCTTGGTTATCTGTTATTCTGGCAAAATAAACTTTGCATTGTTCAGCTCCCAATAATGAGAGAAAGGCATCCCACCAAAAATAGACAGGAAGTGGCAAAAAAGGGACGGCAAAGCCACATTTACTGACCACATATGATGTTTGTGTTCTGTGTACAGAATGGTGTGATTCAGTGCAGCGATTCCTAACTGGATGACATTGATGTGTAACAGGATGGATGGTGATTGACCACATCAATAAAGAAAAGAGAATAAGGAAAAGCAGCTTGTCATCTGTTTTTCCACTCGGAGACGGGTCGAGCTCGGCTCTGTCATTCTAGCCTGCCTGACTTCTTTCACCAGATGTTTCTGTAGTGGCCTGATTCATCTGGCGAACCAGAGGTTTTAGAGCTGGAGCTCTAATTCTCCACACCTGTATTCGGCCATGGCAAACTCTTTATTTGTTCTGCACCTAGTCCTCCCAGCTCCTGCTGAGCGACGGGTGCCACCAAATGATAACAAACAAGCCAGGGAGGCTTGATTGGGCTTCTCTGCAGGCTGGAGGAAGCCTATTTTTGTGCCACTTTTTTGTTTAACCATCCTTATTAATACAGGAATTAAAACCTATACTGTTTTTAAGAGCCTCTACCGAAGAGAAGGTTGCTCAGGACATGCTGTGGAATATTTTCCACAGGAGAATGAGTTTTTTTTTATTTTTTTAAGTGACATAAGACAGTCAAATGGCCTACCTACCTTGACAAGTTCTTTCATTAGTCAGGAGCTTGTAGCCTTTCTTGCAGCTGCACTCAAAGCTGCCCACTGTGTTTCGACACACATGATCACACCCTCCATTGTTCAGTCGGCACTCATCAATGTCTGGGGACAGAGAATCATCAAGAACAGCGGAGGCGTCAAACCACCATACATCGCAAATGAAAAAAGGAGAGAAAATGAAACAAACATGCAAAATGTGCAATACATGCTTTTTTGGCCACTTGGGACAAACTCAGCATTTATATAGAACCTTTTCAGTCACTTTATTAGAACGTTTTCGTTGAAAGCTGAAGGCAGCAAACCACATCGATACGAGTAGTACTGGCTGCGAGCTGGCCCGTCCAAAAGTCCAGCGCTGCCCATATTCACTGTGTCACAATGCTTTGCTCAAGAGGGTTAGGAAATGGGGGTGGGACTGGACATCCAACCCTGCCTTCCTGCGGCTCGCAGCCAGTGAGGTGGCTTTATAAGAACAAAAGTGGTTAAACTATCAGTGTAGAAATATCCAGAGCAGGATGATCAGGTGTTTGGCTGTGTTGGCATGGCAGTCCTGCAGGAACTGTAAAGAAGCTTCAGGGAATTCCTTACTGGCCCACAGAAGAGCTCAAATGTGTGGCTTTAATGGGCTGCAGCTCTCACACAGTAAAACCTCATGGGCATTAAAATCTCTAATGGTGTACTCACACTAGGCACGGTTGCCTCGTCCCCTGGCCGAGCACAATCATACCCCCCTCCCCGCTCCCATGTTGATCTGCATTCATTACAAAAACAATCTGGGCCACAGTACACCTACGTCACCACGATGCAACTTTTTGTGTTGAAGTGAAGCACCCTCACGTAGCGAACAGGGCTCGGATTCCGTGCTTAGGCATGGTTAGCGATCACACTACGGGTACCGTGCCCGAGTCCAGGTGAACCATGCTCAGGACCACCTCTTCGTCTTGGCCAGTGCATGGTATGCTTATGAAATGATGCTGTGCCTTGGTAGGTTTGCCATCCGCTCTGATTAATTCTGAATCATCATCACAGATGCAGCATCTGGCTCTTGAGCTGGTCTTCATCATCTGGTTGAAATAAACGCATCACAAATGGAATACAATAATCCCTTCCTCTGTCCACCCCACCCGCCTCTTGCGCCAGTGCTGCTTGGGTTTGTTTTCCTCTTGTTTCTTCTCAAATCAAACTAATATAGGCCAATGTACCTCTATCAGAAATGTTTGTATAACAATAAGGGCTGTAGAAAGCAGACAGATGTGTATCCCAGTTTTCTGGACACACAGACTGTTGTCAGTCTCCGAATAAAATTCTCAAATACTCTGAAATGTATTTTATTAAACATAATATAACAGACTTGCTACTGTACAGTATGGCCATTGCTTGAGGTGAGGATGCTCTGCCAACACTTGGAAAGAATGATCATGGCAGTACACCAGAAAACCTCTCGAGAAAACCATGGCATGACAAAATATTAGTCAAAATATGCCAGTGAAAAGCACAAAGTAGTGTGAAATTTTGGTGGTACCAATGAGAATACAGATTCTATCCTTTTGTGGGTGCAAAACAATCACAGTGTAGTCTATAAAAAGAAAATCCACTTAGCAGGTTGGTGAAGGTGCTAATGTGGAGGGTGGGAAGAGCACAAATATCTAAAGAAGCACCAGTGTGACTGGCAAGGTGACAGGCATGACAGCTGGACACAAGTAGGTCGAATGTTGCCTGGAACCACGGGTGATGCTTTACCTTTGCAGGTCTTGCGGTCAGGCTGCAAAGTGAAGCCAACGGGACAGCTGCAGCGGACTCCTGTCACTGAATCATGACACGTGCTGTCACAGCCACCGTTGTTCACTGCACAGGTCTCTGCAGGGAAACAAGCAGCTGCAGTCAGACAAACCCCTGTCTTGACCTATTGAAACATCATACATGAATACTGGTAGAAGAGTAAAAACTAGAAGACACTATTACATTCATCATGTGTGTCAAACACAAGACAACAACAGGAAGCACAGCAGGCTTTCAGGTGTTCAGTGGCAGAGAGGAACAAAGTGGAAATACAGACGGGCAACAGAGTCGTAAATGAAGCAGCTGAATGAGATTAACAGCAAGGGAATCCAAGAGATGCTTTTGAAGAATGACAGGAGACAGACATTAGGAAATATTATAACACAGCCACATATTGGGTTTAACACATTTTCTCTAGGTGCAAGTGTGTGCATGTTTGCTTGTCTCTGGTCAAGGTGAATTTTGAACACCAGTGCTGCGAGACATCTGTCTCCCCTTCATTACAGGTCACAGCTTTGACTTCCAGACAGATGCAGACAAAACCACCACTTTTCCATGTTTGGACAAAACCTTCCAGGCATTTTGGGGATAGAAAAGCAATTTCAGCTCCCTGGCCCCTGTGTTGGCTAGATTGATTTGAAAAAAAGGGATGTAGCCAGTCAAGACAGGATAGCCAATGCCTCTTCTCTAGACAGTGACAATTTTCACTGAGACTTTCATTTTAAGTAACAGTACAGCGGGAAAATTGTCCTCACATAAGAGAGACTAGAATGTACCTTAATAATTCTGGCAGCTTTACACACTTCAGACCAGTAAAACCAAATGAAATAAAATAAAGCCTTTTGTGACTGAAACAACCACTTTAACTTGCTGTAAAGAAACTGCTCATCCATGCTTCTCTTTAATGGGCTGAGGGATGACAGCTCTTCTACAAACAGTAGAGCTAGGTTAGTCAAAGTCTTCATGCTGGCAAGGAGACGGCAACTCACACACAGCACTAGGAGAGGGAATGCAACCACAATGGCTTTTTTTTTTTTTGGTAGAACAAGGATCCCTTCGGGGAAACACTTAATCCTCTTCACTTCAAAACTGCACTAAAAAATTTAGCTGTCGATTTCAATTATGTATCAGATCATAACAGGTGCTTAGAGTGATGTAATTTTATGTTTTATAGCCGTTTCACAGACAACAGCACAAAACAGTTCAGTGGATGTTGTTGCTGAAAGCATCAGTGTACTGGGGCGTGGTATTTGTCACCCCCCTTTAATACCCTACTGTATTTGTTCAACAGTTTTCTGGCTGCTGTTCCCCTTTAACATCACAGTTTGTCTGTGTTTAGTAAACTGCAGATTGTCGTGATTTGCGGATAACCAAAATAAGTTTGCACATTTTCCTTTACTGATGCTTCTGTAGTTTACACAGATTATTAGATTTAAAAGGAAAAAAAAAACAGAATGCTATCTTTGTCTTACTCTAACTTAAAGCTGAACTTAGAATCATTAAACACATCCTTGTGAGATTTAATGCGCCCAGGATGCAGAGAGGGCCGTCAGGCGAGACAGGAGGCCGGTGTCAGGGCATGCCTCCAAAATGCTTAGTCAGGCAGCCATCTCACCAAACTGTAATGGGCATGTGTTAAGAGAGCAAATAAATATTTCTGACATTATGGTTTTGTGAAGACAGGGGAGAGACACAAGCTCTGGTATGTGAGTGTGGGTTTGTGTGTTTTGGATGCACACCAGCCACATCTACAGTGCACCAGGTTGGGACCAGCAATTACAGTAACAGTGGGCAGACTTTTGTAAATATTCTCCAGTGTGATGTGTAGAGTGTTTGGTCTAATGCTGAGCCTCTACAGTAAGTTTCATACAGAGAGGTTCAGACAGAAACTTCTAACAGAAGCCGAAGGATTTCCAGCTGCAGCACTTCTCAACTTGCATGAGAACAGTCGACAAACAACCTCAGTGCAATTTGTCATCAGTCATTTATGGCAACTGCAAACAAAGTATGTCAACATGTGAGTGGACAGATGTCACAAAATAGACACAAGGCAGGGTTTTTCTCTGATCACTGGGAACAGATGGCTTTAGTGAAAAAGATCCTTTTGACCAAACAGTAGACATGCAGCTAGAGTAAAGCTACTCAGAAGGCAGACGGGGTTATCAGACACCGACCTGTCTACAGGGCTGAGGTGAATGCTCTCTCAAAAACATAAAACCACACGATAAGAAAATAAAAGCATGAACAACAGTCTGCTCATGTTTTCAGGAGTTGGAATTGTGAAACTAAGGTAGAGTACCAGGAAAATCAGGAGACGAACCTGATGTACAGTAGCAGGATACAAAATTTGTCCCTTGCTCTTAATGTTTCCATCTCTAAGAAATCTAGGACATAAAATCCTGAAATAGATCAGACTGTGAAGTTATAGTGTGCGGAGAACTCGGTGTCCACGCAGTAGTAACAACTAGCAACTTAACACACTACTGTTGGCTCCAAGGGGCTACTCCCCTGTGACCACACCTCCTCCCTGGTTTTGTATAATTAAACGGTAAATCTCGTTGATGTATCAAGGTTTGATACATCCTCACAGATTTAGGAGTTCATTTTTTTCAGGTATTTTTGCCATAGCTGTTAAAATAAAACCCATCTGAATTAACGATGAATTGCATTAGTGATATTATCAAAATGCTCAATTCCAATACTAACCCCTCCAAATGTGCCCCACTGTTACAATTATTCTAAGCCAAACAATAGAAGAGGAATAACTTCAGTTTAGGCCTTGCAATTTTTAGTCCACGAGTGCATGTGTATGAAAGGACCGGTAAAAAGAATTCTGTGTCTCATCTTTTGTATGGAGTATAGCTGAATCGTGGACACATTAATGGCTCCCTCACTAAAGCTAATAATTAGGCCATGACAACAGAGTTTAGGAACACCACAGCTGAATGTTTGAAACAGTGCAAGCTTAATTTCACTCATTTCATTTGTATCAAAACACAAATAAAAGCCTTTGGTCTGCCTCTTGAAATTCATCACAGTTAAACTGCTCGTATTATGGGCTCCTGACAGTGGCTGCTTGTGGTTGTGCTTACACAACCTCATTCTTATTGATCAATCAAACTGCAGAGGTGGAAGCAGTCTCATTACTTTATATAGTATAAAAAATATTAGTGAATTAATGGCAAAATATTTCATTAGAAGTTAAAGTCCTGCATTAAAAATTCTAATTAATTAGAATTTTCAGCAAATTATACTTAAATTATCAAATGTAAAGTAAGTTCTTCTGCAGTTGGAACATCTTGTGTGAGTGTTGTCCTATAGTCCTATAGCTGACATTATCAGACTTAATAATGCTGCAATGTGTATGATGCATTTCACTGTTGTAGTTTGATGAGGTAAAGCTAGTTTTAACTACATTATATCGAGTTAGAAGTTAAGCTGAGAGGTTCTCAGACTGGGGGTTGGAACTATTATAAAGGTCACAAGATAAACCTGTAGGGTCATAAGATGAATAATGGGGTATGGTTATAAACCCTAAGCCCTTTATGAATAGATTAAAATCAAGGATCGTGACGTCGCCCGGTATGGCGCAGCCGGGGCCCCACCCTGGAGCCAGGCCCGGGAGTGGGGCTTGAATGCGAGCGCCTGGTGGCCAGGCCTCCCCTCACGGCGCCCGGCCGGGCCTAGCCCGAACGAGCGATGTGGGG